ATAGAACACCCCGTACGTAGCTGCTAGCGTTGAAGGGCGACGGATTGACAAACCTCGTTTGTTGGATAAACGAACCCATCACTTGTTACATTAGCGGTATGGAAGAGAGCAACTCGATCCGGCTGCTCGCAACGAAGGAGGTTGTCGATCATTCTTCTATCCCCGTCGACGACCGCAGCACGCGACGCCATCGGAATTTCCTGGCCTCATTATTGGTCATTCTGTCGGATGGGCTGGCGAGGTCGAGAGCTGCTTACCCTTTTGGAGTCCCTAATGTAGTCTTCGGCTCTTCACGCCCCAAGTACGGATTGACGCCAATATGCGGCACATCACGGTAGCCTCAGGGAGTAAGGAAAATGTACACAATGCACAATGACGGACCCCGAACCCAACTACTGGGCGCGTTGTACGACGATCAGTCTCTAGCCTGCTGCACACATGTGCCGGTCGCTCACCGCAGTAGTCATGTCGTCCGATGTGTCGATCAGGATGGGAAACAGCCGCGTTTCCGCCGAGTGGGGATCGCTCCAGCACCCAAGGTAGTCGGGGTCGTTCGAGTAGACGGAGAGAGCGTACGACCCGCCACAGATCTCGTCAGAGTTGCCGGAGCAGGGCATGGCGCAGTCGCCGGGGCCATTGATGGCGTATCCGACGTTGTCACCGCACCAGCACTTGTTGAATTGAAACGAACGACGTACGTTCGGAATGATTTTGGTGGTGGCGTCAAAGGAGTGCGGGAGCGTCGTGGTTGCGAGAGCGGAGTGCGATGTTTGTCGCTACGGAGAATGGGGTGAGGAGAGCAATCGTGGCGGTGGTACTGGCGTCGAACCACGGTCCGCCGAGGAGAAGACAGAATCAAACACGGAGGACCACACAGCATCTCGATTCGCGAAGGACGCTGTCATCAGTTGCCCCCGATCGCGAGTCGACCGTTCCGAATAGATCAAGGCGTGATGCTGTGCGATCACTGAGTCCGGTAGAAGATGAAACCACAATCACTGTTAATAACTACCTCGCTCGTGTAGCACTTCAGGAGATCAAGCAACAACCATCAGTCAAAATATTGTACACCGGGGACCTGCCAATCCTTTTGGCCTCGCAGGTTGTCCTTGTTCCGTGGCACAAAGAAGGCATGATGCCCCAAGCCTCGACTATGCATTTTTTGGTCCCGCAACCTCCATCCCCGAATCACTGAACCGTCTTTCACTATTTTCCGCGATCACGATGCCGTTCGTCGCCTTCTCTGTTGATCGGCACATGGTAATGATCCCTTTGTTTTCAAATTGAATATTCTTACCTCTGTCGAATACTGGGTCCCATAGAAGTCCGACCCAGAGCAGAGCTCCGAACACACCTGGGGTCGAAGTATTGCATGAATGCGTGCAAAGCCGTCGATGGTCAGTATTAGGGGGCGCGTGAAGGAATGGTGGGCACGTCCGCAGAAACCGCCATGGCCGCACTGGATGTGTCATTAGGCTTCGGGGGTCACAAAGCTACTTTGAAAGCGTGGATGACACCTGTGTGATTCCCTGACGACATGAGCAGCACCAACTGCCGTGAGCAGGTCAACAAGAGTATGCTTCAACTCGCACGCAGACCCCATCGTGCCGACAGCGCAATGCAACTCGCACGCAGACCCCTTCGTGCCGACAACACAACGCAACCAAGTAAACACAAATATCCTGGCGTGCGTCCGCCCATCATCGATCGATCGCTCACGTCTGCGGTCATAGCAGAGGTAGAAGACTGCCATTCGAAGACGCGGTTCTCAGCAGGATCCGAGAAGCACCCGAGGTAAGATGGATCATCGGACTGACCTGCTCCGGCAACAGTCAGACGACGCGATAATCTCACGAACCTTGAAGCTTGCTCCAAATGTGCAACGACACAAGAGGCACGCACATGCGTACTCACGCCTCGGAGCTGGACGGTCTCGCGGTATTCGTTGCTCGACTACTTGTAGTTTAGGTGTAAGGGGCACAAGCGGTCAAATCGTGCTGTTGTGACGTTTGACCCATCTCAGATTGGATTCATCCAAAACTCATTATCTAAAGTCGTAGGTGTGCGTGTAGAACACGATGCCTCAGCAGCTCGCGAGTATTGAAGCCGCTCGTGGGAGCGCCGAGATACTGTTTCTGCTTCGGCTATTCTGGTTCAATGACCGAATCGGTTGGCCTCAGAGAACACCCCCAATTCATCCACCGGGTTATTTTATTCGTAAGAAGAGTTCCAGAGGACAATCCACTTCCCGATCAATAAGAGCCATGCTTCGTACATCATTGCCGCTTACCAACGGCGACGCCGAGGAGGAGCGTCGGTAGCGCCAGCGGAAGGAGGTGCATCTTGACCTCGAAATTGCTGGAAAGCTGACACCTGACAGCAAAAGACCATTGTTCGTCAGGCATACGTGCGAGATGGTCTTTTTGCGGCTCTTCGCCCTTTCACTGTTTCCCATCTGCATCCTCTGTACAAAGGCTTGTGAAGTTTGGGAGGAGAATCGATTGTCGAAAAACGCAATCACGGGTTTGTGATACCAAAAGCATGACTGTTGTGGGGCATTCAATACTTGCACCGCGTACAACGTCCCCGCTAGGTAGGGTCCTACGCAGGGAAAACGACAGGTAGGGGGCTGCAAGTATTAGGTTCACGGTAGATCGCGCACAAAAGAGGTCTAAATGTATCCTATTTCTCCGACGGCCTTGGAGAGTTTGGGCACTACATTATCTCGCTTCGGGATTGAGAGAGATTAGGAGACATGTGGGTTTCGTTATTTCCTCTGTGGGTGATCAGATCATGGCTGCCACTGTCTGCTGTTCCATGAGCGCACGGCCATGTCTGGATTGAGGAGAAAACCCAACCACCCAAACATCACCAACATCCCGGTGTAAAGAACTTCGAAACAAAATATTTGCGCACAATACGGTGCTCTGTAGATCGGGTGCACATACAGCAAGCGGCAGGATACCCGAGAAGGAAATCATCCATAAACTAGAATGCGCTGCCACGACATACAGCAGTAGACACAACAGCCACACTCACAGTGCGTTCTTGGGGGCCTCAGGGGATCTTGAGCTGCTCGGGAGTGCAGACAGGGCGGGAAGTAGCAGAGTGTGAGCTGATGGGCGAGAGGGCAGAGGACGTCCTCTCGGATAATCCACATATGATGTCACACATGATCATTTGCTCGAATTTGTATTGTGGGCGTCAATGGAGCCTTGAAGTGTGAGCGTGTGTTCGAAAGAGCCGGCGGGTTGCGTAATTGCTCACACGAAATGTCGTACATTCTTATGTCACTTACATTCACGTTCGATTCATTTTCTTGTGGAAAGCAGGTCAACGCAAGGGCTTCCCGTGCCACATGTCTGTGGGCGGCGGGTTGCACTCTCTTGACGGTCGATGAGTGGGCGAACCTGACACGAGAAGGTCACACCAAGAGCGGTTTCGTGGATTTCCACACGAGTGCTTGCAGGACAGCAATAGGCCCCATGCGTGCACGAATGGGTCCGACATAGCTGGCCATTGGGACGAATGGGGACAGTTTGGGTCTGCTGTAGGTCCCGTTCTGGTGTGG